GGCGGGGCCGCCCGGCGGGGCGCGGAGGGGTCCGGAGTCGCGTCGGCGGTGGGCGGGAGCCCGTACCCCGCCGGGCTAGGCCCGCTCGCCGTGGCGGCGGGTCCTCCATCACCATAGAGACGGGCCCCGCATCGCGAGGGCAGGTCCCTCGTCACCATGGAGACAGCCCCCATCACCGCAGAGACGGGCCGAGCATAGAGGCAGGCCCCTGTTCCCCCCAGCAAAGGAGGCAGGACCCCATCATGGTCCTTAGAGATAGGCCTCCCCCCGACTAGGGTCAGGGCTGTGTAGGGACGGGCCCTTCGTCACCATGGAGGCCACCTCACCCCCTCCCATGGCAGCCCCAGGCTGTGGGGTCACCTGAGTTGGGGCTGCGGGGCCTGGCTGGGTGCTACAGGACGCTGGGGAGAGCGTGGGGCAGGTTGGAGCCTCCCCCGAGCACCCCCCTCTTGTTCTGCAGGGGCTCCCGGCCGTGCAGCCGCGGCTGGTGGCCGTCAGCAAGACGAAGCCGGCAGAGATGGTGATCGATGCCTACAACCACGGGCAGCGCAGCTTCGGGGAGAACTACGTGAGTTGGCTGGGCCCCACGGGTGTGCGGGTGGGTCCTCCCGCACCGGGCAGCCCGACACGCGTGGGGAGCCAGGCTCAGGCCCCTGGCCTGGGATTCATGAGCGTGCGTTGGCCCCAGGAACATCCACTCCAGAGAGATCGTTCTGCCGGTGCAGGCAGGCCTGGTGTGGTTCTAACGAGAGATTGTCTTGTGTTCCCCTAGGTTCAAGAGTTGCTAGAAAAGGCATCAGATTCCAGAGTGAGTACGCAGTTCCTTATATGTTCTCTCTTCTTATGCAGCTGTGTCCTGAGAGCTGTTTAGCAAAAGTCCTGTTTTTTGTTAGGGATTTGGCAATGGAGGCTGTTTGATCCTTGTCTTTTCAGATAAACACTGGGGTTATTCTTATCTCTGCTTCTGCCCCGCTCCCCCTCCTTGCCTTGCTGGCTCTGGAGGATTCTGTGAATACGTGCACCTTAGTCATAAAGTATTTGTCTGAACAGTGCATTACCTTTTGTGCTTTCTGCTGTAGGAGACACAGCAGTCCTCCTTGAAAAAAATGGTAGCACTCAGTTTGGAGAAAACATACAATTTTATGATTGTTCAGTTACAAAAGAGTTTTGCCTTCCCCGTTCACTGTGTAACGCTCTGCAGCCACAGCCCTGTTCCTCTCCAGACTGTGAAGCAATCTCAGTGCACACCACGAGCACTGCCAGGGCCCTGTCTCTCAGGGTAAACAAAAGAAGAAGATTGGGTGTCTGGTATTTTGTTTGTGGGCAAACTGAGACTTAAGGACTGTGTGGGGGAAGAGGGAATTGCCATTCAAACCTAACTGTTCCTCTCTGCTTTCAGATTCTGTCCTCATGTCCGGAGATTAAGTGGCATTTTATTGGCCATCTGCAGAAAAATAACGTCAACAAGTTGATCGGTAAACCACTAATTTTTATGTGCAGTGACCCTGTGGGCAATAGTCTTCCAGTGTTCAAATAATAACAACCTCACGTACATTAACTCACCAGAGCGAACCGAGTCGTAGGTACAAAAATTTCTGCACCAGCAGAATTGCCCTCAGCCTGTGTTTTCTCCCCAGCTGTCCCTAACCTGTTCATGTTGGAAACGGTGGATTCTGTGAAACTAGCTGACAGAGTCAACAGCTCATGGCAGAAAAAAGGGGCGTCTCAGAAGCTGAAGGTCATGGTGCAAGTTAACACGAGTGGAGAAGACAGTAAGTGTTTTTTTTCTCTTGATGTACAGGTTCCTCCTGATGGCTTGATGGAAGCAACCTGTACGGGATGGGTTGGTTTGTGCTCTTACAGCCTTTCTCTGAGCTAAGGTGAAACTTGTTCATCTGTCAGCTCTGCCTGGCTGAGGGGAGGGGAGGTCTCTGGCAGAGCTTGGCACAGATCTCTGCTCTTTGCCAGGTAAGCACGGCCTTCCTCCCAGAGACACCACGGCGGCTGTGGAGCACGTCCTCAACAAGTGTCCAAGCCTGGAGTTTGTGGGGCTGATGACGATCGGCAGCGTTGGGCACGACCTCAGTAAGGGGCCAAATCCCGACTTCCAGGTAAGACTTTCTAGGAAAAAATGTCAGCTGTTGGCTGGGCTCCCATGACAGTCTGTCGCCTGTCACGGCCAAACCAGCGTGCGGACCAGCTGTCAGTCTGACGGGGTGTTCTCAGCAGAAACACCTGCTCAGAGCAGTACAGAGCTCTGAAGTACCGGTGATAATGCAGCTGTTGGGCTCTTTTCTGCAGAGGCCCGGTGCCCGTTTGCATTTGTTTCTCTGAAGCTGTAGCCAGGGTGTTGGCAGGGCAGTGACTGCTGTCCCGGATCCTCCATGCTGTGTTCAGACAAGGTTTGCAGCCGCCCTTTGCACACCAAGTGTTCAGGTCTGCATCAGGCAGAGGAACTGGGTCTTCCTTCCTCGTCTGTCACGCTGGTGTGATAATTGGATGTCTTCAGGCAATGTGTAGACTTGTAAGTGTGCGTGTTGTCAGTAATGTAGCCTGTAACGGGAAATCTCCGGGCGCTGTCACAGTGCTGCGGAGCCAGCTTCAGTGGGAAGTGTGGGAGCTTCACGTTCTGTGTGAAGGAGACTTCAAAGGAAGGCAGAAACGGAGATCTGTGAAACCTGAACCTGAGCTGGCGTGGCTGTCAAGCTCTGATCCTCTCCTCTTTCCTCCCTTCTAGATGCTGCTGTCTTTGCGGCAGGAAGTGTGTGAAAAGCTCAGTCTCCCTGTTGAGAAGGTGGAGCTGAGCATGGGCATGTCCACGGACTTCCAGCACGCAGTAAGTCTGGTTTCCTCCTGCCCCCCTTTCTCTCAGGAGACAAGCAGCGGGCGCCCCAAAGCCCAGCCCAGTGTCACCCATCTGGGCCTCTTGGGCCTCACCTTGGCTGGAGATCCCGACAGGGCCGTTCCCTGAGAAACAGCTCTCCTGGCCCTGGGGTGGGGTTCTGGGGTTCAGAACAGTCCCCGGCTGTAGTGCGGGGACCCGTCCTGGGAGACGGCGAATGTGGGGGCAGCCCCCCCTGAACTCCTCCTTTCTGTCTCTTCATAGATAGAGGTTGGATCCACAAACGTCAGGATTGGAAGCACTATTTTCGGAGAGCGGGATTATTCCAACAAAGCAGGTGGTGGCAAGGCCCCTGCTGAAACAAAAGGCAAAACAGAGACCTTGACAGTGTAGGGTCATTAGATGGGGGGAAAAAAAAGTGGCCTCGAGAGAGGACAGATGATGGGAGACCTCACTATGCATCCTCACCTCCCTCTGTATCGGCACTGATCATGATGGTGAGAGGGAATTCCTCAGAACAGAACAGAGGCCAGAAATGCCTCATGATTTATTGTGATTATAGAGTACCCATAGAAATGGGAAATTTTTATAACCAACAAATGATAAGAAAATTTATGGTTGGAAGTGTCTGTGGTGTCTTGGCTCCTTTGGGGTCATTAAGAACAGTGACTCTTGGATAACTGGGTGGAACAAACTTAAATACTTGCCAGGATGGAGCTGCTAATGAGGAAGATGTATCTGCAGCAGTGTCAGGGATTACGTTTTTCACTGAGGACTAAAGTTTCCATTAAACAAGTTATAATCTTGCCAGCGACGTTTAAATGTTTCCCCAAATAAAAGTTTTGTGCATGGTCACTACTGAGAGAATAGAAACGGTGACAGAGACAGACTGGGACAGTGGAGAGGCCATACCCGTTTGAACAGACAGCAAGCACCCGAGGACGGAGGAGGAACACAGCTGCCAGCATGAGATCCTGGCAGAATGTTTTGGATGCAGATCACAAGCGTGGGAGTGTCTTTTCGGCTGGAGCTTATGTTTGTTCTTTTCAGGCTGACACTGCGAACTTTTCCCATTGGTTCTGCGTCTGCTGAGATCTGGGATGCTTTCAACCTTCCCCCTCCCCTCTTGTGAAGTGTTGTTAGGAGTTATTTTCATCCTGCGTAGTAGTTCTTGACGCTGTACGTTCTTTTTTTGGCCAGAAAGGGGCCTTTCCGCCAGGTCCTTTCTCTGCCATCGGCTCGCTGTTGCTTTCCAGGGCAAGTCACTTCACCATCGGGTGCCTCCACCGCCCCGTCTGCATCTGTACGAGGAGAATATTTGCATGTGCACGGGGCAGCAGCAGGGTTTGCTGGAGGCCCTGTGGGAAAAGTACTTCAGAAAGTCAAGTATTACTGTTCCACTGTGTTCTAGGTTCCTGCAAAAAAAAAAAATCCTAGTGCCACCGACAGAGCTCCTAGGCTGCCTCTTAATATCTTAAGCACTGGTCTAGCCTTGGCTTCTGGAGGAGGGAAACGGGACTCTCAGTGCAGTAACTTTCATTCGGGTGTGAGCAGAAGCTCCTGCGCGATCTCGTGCTGGTTTTGGCCAGCAGTAGCTACAGCAAGTCTCTGGTAACCTGTGTTCAACCACGTTTTGGGGCTTTTGTGTGCTGTGAAGAGGAGGAGACATTGGCTGCCAGCAGGAACATCCTTCCCAGGCTTTTCTCTGTGTGCGTGTGGTTAAATCTAGCTGTTGGTTTTACTCTCTGACTCTAAACGCTGAATGTAAATGAAAAGAGTCAACTCTAACACCAACCTGTCATAGCTACATGGTTTAGAAGCAACGTGCAGTCTGAGCTGCCCTTGGCACTGCATGTGGTGTTTCATAGTCTGTTAATAAAAAGTGGTGAATTTTAATACCATCTGTGCCAACTATAAAGCTATTAAAGATGTTATTTTTATGTTCCAGCGTTGTCAGTGCCCTGAGTTGTCGCTGAAGCTGTTCCCCTCACGCGGAGCTGCTGTTGAGTGAGATTTGCGTGGCTGGGGCTGGAGGGAGCGGGTGGTTGGAAGGACGGCGGAGGCAGCGCTGGCCGGGGAAAGGGAGAAGAAACCGCGGAGCGGGGCGAGGTGCCGGCGGGCGAGAGGTGTTTCTGGAGAAGCCCTCTGGGTGGCACTGCTCCCCTGGCCCGCGGGGAAGGCACAGCCCCTCCTCGGCCGCCTGACAGATACGGATCGAAAATGAGTCTCAAAAATTAACTCTCATTTCCCAACTGACGGTTGAAGCGAAGCCCTTCCTCTTCCACATCTCTTCCCCACAATTTCAGCACCGCGCACTGCCCGCAGACCTGCAGATTTCACCACGTTTAAAGCCTTTGGTTTATTTGACAGAAGGCAGGACGCCCGCTCTGACAGAATTTGGCTCCAGCGTGGAGGGACTGCAGTGTCCCTGCAGTGCCTGTGCTGCCCGTCGAACGTGGCTGGAGCTCTCCACAGCAAGCGAGGAGCGAAGGTGATGGGCTGCTGTGCTGACACAGCCCCGGGGTTGTGAGCCTGAGGGGGGGATCGGGCCCCCCAGCTCTGCTCACCCCTCACTGACCTGCAGCTCACTCTGCCCACGCGGGAATGCGGGACGGGCTCACACCGGCTCACATCCCCTTTTGCTTTTCTTCTTCCAGTCATTTTGTGCTTATTTCCCGAGTTGAAACTGGGCCCTAGCCAAGCTTAGCGGAGCAGTCGGTGTGTAAATGGGGAGGTGAGGCTGCGGGGCTGGGCCAGGCTCGTCCCCGTTTCCATGCCCAGGCGCTCTGGCTCAGAGGAGGGGGCTGGCTCGGGAGAGCGCATGGTCCTCTGGATTTCTGAGCTGCCTCCGTAGCGTCTGCTAAAACATTTGGGACTCCCTCAGCTTTGGCAGGGGGGACCGTGCATGTCTCGGTGGTTCCGGGGGTGCTCTCTGCTGCGGGACCCCCTCCCCTCCGGCCAGGCCGTGCAGTGGCCTGCGGGGAGCGGTTTGGGTGCTGTGCCGAGGCGCCGGCGAGGAGACCGGCATCAGCTTCTGCTCCCTGCCCTGCGGCTGCTTCTCTCGCCCGTCCCGCTTCCAGCAAGCTTTTTCCCTTCCCAACCATGTCGTGCCGCGGAGCTTTGCCATGCTCCTCCTGTGGCAGCGCCCGCCAGCACCTTCGTTCCTCCTCGAGGTGCCGCCGGACACCTGCCCGGGGTGAGCGGGGCGCAGACCACCCACTCCGTCCGCAGAGGTCACCCGGCAGATGGGGGCTGCTGGTCACTGGCGTGGAGCCAAGGAGTGGGAGATGAAAGGCTCCCTGGCCTCTTAATGAACCGCTCCCCGCGCAGGCACCTCGGCCCCCCGCCACCCCAGCTTTATTTACATCTATTAAAAGCTCTCGGGCGGTTTATTGAAGCAGCAGTGCTCTCCTTCCCCGCGCCTCGGGGCAATGTCACTGTCAATATTTGCCTTGGAGGAATGTGCCCGGCAGACGGAGCCTGGTTGTGGGCCAGAGGGGCTCCTCCTCCCTCGTGACCCGCAGCCCTTGCTGCCGGCCAATGGCGCAGGCGCCGTCCCCTCCCGGGGCAGAGGCACCGGCTTTCCTGGCTGTCCCCCGAGGTGACCCTTGTTTCCACGCTGCCCCTTGGATGGGGGCTGGCCCAGCTGACCCCCCCCCAAGCCGTGCCAGCAAGCAGAGCAGCGCTTCCCATGTGCTGTGGAGAAAACCTTCCGGGGGGTTTGGGGAGCATCCGTGGGCAGACTTGGCTGCCTCTGAAAGGAATAAAACTGCCGGTTGTGCTGGACGGGGTGATGTGCTGCTGCTTCTCCTTTATGGGCTCCTGGGGAGATGGGCTGCCTGCCCGAGGCCATCCTCATCCTCGGGGAAGAAGCAGCAGCCTCTCTTGTTAGAGTAACTGAAGCTGCTGAGCTCCGCAGGCTCCGGTTACCCCTTAGGTGAGAGTCCTTGGCGTCCTTCGCTCCCCTTCCCCTACAAATCCAGGCTTCATTTATTTTTTATCCGATAATATCCTTTGTGCTGCGGTGTCTAGAGCCAAGCTTGGCCTCCCTGCCAGATCGCAGCGCGAGCTGGGGGTGCGCTGCAGGCAGCAGATGTGCTGGGAGGCGGCGGGAAGGCTGGGGGGGCACCAACGCGCCTGCTCCCCAACGCGGCACCCGCTGCCGCAGCCAGGCCTCGGCTTGCTGGAGAAAATCGGGAGATTTGGGTCAGTTCCCCGCTCTTCCTCGGGCTCCCGCTGCGGCCGGGATGCTGCGGGCAGGTGAGAGCCCGGGGGCGGCCGGGAGCCACTCGGCCCCGGGGCAGAGCCCGCTGCAGCCCTTCAAAGTGGAAAGTGTGTTTATTTCTGGGATATCAGGTTTCCGGCAGGAAGGCCGGCAACTGCCAAGGTTTTTATTGGATCCCAGTGAAAGGAATTTTTAGAGAGTCCTGTGCTTGTTGTCTTTCCCTGTGCCTGCAGCGGTTGAGGAGCGCTTTTACCTTTGAATGGGAGCGAGGGGCAGGGGGATTTGGCTCCCGGCTCCGGCACGTCCGTGGTGATGGAGTTTCAAACAGGTTGCCTTGTTCTCTCCGGGGCAGGAGGCATCAGGAGGGGTCGGGGCTGGGAGAGCACCAACAGGGACTTGGAAGTAGTTGAAAGAACATGAACTCCATCGGGCTCGAAGCATGTGGGAAGTGTTGCTTGAGCTCGTCCCTCGTAGCAGGGCTGGGGCCGGGTATTTCACATTTGTTAGTAGTTTGGACAAGGTTTCGACTGTTCTTGGAGGTGCTTTTATAGGAGATTGAAATTCTGAAGACCACGTACAGTGGCTTGATTGCTTCAATGTGTCGTGGAGACAGCTCCAGAGCTCTGATTGCCCTTGGATGCTGCCAGCTCTGACCAACACCCTCCAGGGCCCAAGCTCCGTGCCTGGTCCCGTTCCTGTCCCCATTCTCGGCTGAACGCTGGGGGCTCCCTGGGCTCCTCCTGGCCCGGTGGCAGAGCTGCTACCCCAAGGAAAGGGGGGCCAAGCAGGGCAGCGGCTGTGCTTTGGGTCAAGGTCAGAGCTCGGGAGAAACAGGAGTGTGAGCAGCTCCCTGGATCTCCCCACAGAGGAGAAACCAAACAGGCCATTGAGGCAACGCGGAATCCCGCAGAGGGAAAGCACACCAGAGCAGCCGGGTCACCCGCTCGAGCTGCAAGCCTGGGCTCTGCTCAGGGGCCCTCGGCACCGCGGCATCGGGCCGTTCCCTCAGGGACGAGATGCTCAAATCTTGTGTCTTGCGCTGACGGGCACAGGGGTGAGCAGTGCGGCGCGGTGGCTGCAGGCGCCTGAGCGCTGGGGGACAAGAATTTATTTATTTAGGGCTTGATCCGGCGGAAGGAGGTGGCTGAACCCTGTGTGCTGCAGCATTTGGGATCGTGTCCCCGTTTGGGGCTGGGCTTGGCGTGCGTTTGGGGCACCCAGGGAGAGCCGTGGGCTCCGGCCCTCACACTCATCTGCTCCAGGAGGAGGAGGAGGAGGAAAAACCACTCGTGCTTTCTGCAGCTTTTGAAGTGGGAGGCACAGTCGCTGTTTGGGTTTTGGGGAGCGGTTTCACGCTGTGCAGATGCTCGCAGGATCTCTGAGCGGATACTGGACACAAGCGGTTTCCTGTTGCTCTTCCAGGATCTGGGACCAGCATCCTGCAGCGCTGAGCACAGGAGAGTCGCTTCTGCAGTGGAAATTTTGCTCAGTGGAAAAAAGGAAAGAAAAAAAAAAAGGGGGGGGGAGATGTGGGTACATTGTTGATTGTCAGCTTTTTACTAACAGGATGATGCTGGTCTCCAGGGCTCTGGGGCCCTGTGGCTGACCCCAGGGGCTGGGGGGTCTGTGGGGGGTGCTGCTGCCCACGGAGGAGCCCCGAGGCCTCGGTCCCTGTCCCTGCCTGGCTGGAGGCCGCGAGCGCCGGGGCAGGGAGGAGCTGGAGAAGCAGCTGAGGAGCGGCTGAACCACAGCGCGTCGTGTGGAAACAGCTCGGGAGCGTGCGCCGAGGAGTATCCCCTCCTTCCGACGCCCACTGCCGCAGCAAGGCGTATTTATTTGGAGAAAGGAGTAAATTTCTCTTCCCCTCCAGGAACTGTTGGTCCTGGGGAGAAACCGCATTCCCAGAGTTGCCTCTCGTCGTCCTTCCATGACCCTCTTCCTCCGTGCCCTGGCACGGGGGCCCGGGGACTTCACTGCTGCTTTTGATCCCTTTTGATTTGAAGCTGCAGTGACTTGGGGCTGAGC